AAATTATGTGTGAAGGAACCTGGCCCACAGAAGTTGCCCTGTAAATTTTAATTTACTTTCCCTTGTTTATATGTATGACATGAGCTCAATACAGTTATGACCCCCCTACTAAAACTCCCAAATATTCTCCTTTTAGTTCTCTTTTTTTTAAATTGCATTTTAGGTTTTGGGGTACATGTGAAGAATATACAAGATTGTTGCTTAGGTACACACATGGCAGTGTGATTTGCTGCCTTCCTTCCCTTCACCTATATCTGGCATTTCTCCCCATGCTATCTCTCCTCAACTCCCCACCCCCTGCTGTCTCTCCCCTATTTCCCCCCAACAGACCCCAATGTATAGTGCTTCCCTCCCTGTGTCCATGTGTTCTCATTGTTCACCACCCACCTATGAGTGAGAACATGCGGTGTTTGATTTTCTGTTCTTGTGTCAGTTTGCTGAGAATGATGGTTTCCAGGTTCATCTATGTCTCTACAAAGGACACAAACTCGTCATTTTTGATGGCTGCATAATATTCCATGGTGTATATGTGCCACATTTTCCCTGTCCAGTCTATCATTGATGGGCATTTGGGTTGGTTCTAGGTCTTTGCTATTGTAAACAGTGCTGCAATGAACATTTGTATGCATGTATCCTTATAGTAGAATGATTTATAATCCTTTGGATATATACCCAGTAATGGGATTGCTGGGTCATATGGAATTTCTATTTCTAGATCCTTGAGGAATCGCCACACTATCTTCCACAATGGTTGAACTAATTTACACTCCCACCAACAGTTTAAAAGTGTTCCTGTTTCTCCACATCCTCTCCAGTATCTGTTGTCTCCAGATTTTTTAATGATCGCCATTTTAACTGGTGTGAGATGGTATCTCAATGTGGTTTTGATTTGCATTTCTCTGATGACCAGTGATGATGAGCATTTTTTTCATATGTTTGTTGGCCTCATGTATGTCTTCTTTTGTAAAGTGTCTGTTCATATCCTTTGACCAGTTTTGAATGGGCTGGTTTTTTTTATTTCTTGTAAATCTGTTTTAGTTCTTTGTAAATTCTGGATATCAGCCCTTTGTCAGATGGGTAGACTGCAAAAATTTTTTCCCACTCTGTTGGTTGCCGATTCAGTCTAATGACTGTATCTTTTGCTGTGCAGAAGCTGTGGAGTTTGATTAGGTCCCATTTGTCTATTTTGGCTTTTGTTGCCAATGGTTTTGGTGTTTTGGTCATGAAGTCCTTGCTTACGCCTATGTCCTGAATGGTTTTGCCTAGATATTCTTCTAGGGTTTTTATGGTGTTAGGTCTTATGTTTAAGTCTTTAATCCATCTGGAGTTAATTTTAGTGTAATGTGTCAGAAAGGGGTCCAGTTTCTGCTTTCTACACATGACTAGCCAGTTTTCCCAACACCATTTATTAAACAGGGACTCCTTTCCCCATTGCTTGTTTTGGTCAGTTTTGGTTGTAGATATGTTGTGTTGCCTCTGAGGCCTCTGTTCTGTTCCATTGGTCTATATCTCTGTTTTGGTATCAGTACCATGCTGTTTTGATTACTGTAGCCTTGTAGTATAGTTTGAAGTCCAGTAGTGTGATGCCTCCTGCTTTGTTCTTTTTGCTTAGAATTGACTTGGCTCTGCGAGCTCTCTTTTGGTTCCATATGAAGTTTAAGATGTTTTTTTCCAGTTCTGTGAAGAAGGTCATTGGTAGCTTGATGGGGATAGTGTGGAATCTGTAAATTACTTTGGGCAGTATGGCCATTTTCATGATATTGATTCTTCCTACCCATGAACATGGAATGTTTCTCCATCTGTTTGTGTCCTCTTATTTCATTGAGCAGTGGCTTGTAGTTCTCCTTGAAGAGGTCCTTTACGGTCCTTGTTAGTTGTATTCCTAGGTATTTTATTCTCTTTGTAGCAGTTGTGAATGGCAGTTCGTTCTTGATTTGGTTCTCTTTAAGTCTGTTATTGGTGTATAGGAATGCTTTTGATTTTTGCACATTGATTTTGTATCCTGAGACTTTGCTGAAGTTGCTTATCAGTTTCAGGAGATTTTGGGCTGAGACGATGGGGTCTTCTAGATATACAATCATGTCGTCTGCAAATAGAGACAGTTTGACTTCCTCCTTTCCTATTGGAATACGCTTTATTTCTTTTTCTTGCCTGATTGCTCTGGCTAGAACTTTCAATACTATATTGAATAGGAGTGGTGAGAGAGGGCATCCCTGTCCAGTGCCAGATTTCAAAGGGAATGCTTCCAGTTTTTGCCCATTCAGTATATTTGCTGTTGGTTTGTTGTAAATAGCTTTTATTATTTTGAGATACGTTCCATCAATACCGAGCTTATTGCAGGTTTTTAGCATAAAGATCTGTTGAATTTTGTCAAAGGCCTTCTCTGCATCAATTGAGATAATCATGTGTTTTTTGTGTTTGGTTCTGTTTGTGTGGTGAATTACGTTTCTAGACTTGTGTATGTTCAACCAGCCTTGCATCCCCAGGATGAATCCTTCTTGATCATGGTGGATAAGCTTTTTGATGTACTGTTGCAATCGGCTTGCCAGTATTTTATTGAAGATTTTTGCATCTATGTTCATCATGGATATTGGCCTGAAGTTTTCTTTTCTTGTTGAGTCTCTGCTGGGTTTTGGTATCAGGATGATGTTGGTCTCATAAAATGATTTGGGAAGAATTCCCTCTTTTTGGATTATTTGGAATAGTTTCTGAAGGAGTGGTACCAGCTCCTTTTTGTGTGTCTGGTAGAATTCGGCTGTGAACCCATCTGGACCTGGGCATTTGGTTATTCTCTCTTTTCTTTTTTATTAATCTGGCTAGTAGTCTGTGTATTTTGTTGATCTTTTCGAAAAACCAGCTCCTGGATTTATTGATTTTTTTGAAGGGTTTTTTATGTCTCTCCTTCAGTTCTGCTCTGCTCTTAGTTATTTCTTGCCTTCTGCTAGGTTTTGAGTTTTTTTTTATTTTGCTCCTCTAGCTCTTTCAATTTTGACAATAGGGTGTTAATTTTAGATCTCTCCTTGCTTCTCATGTGGGCATTTATTGCTATATATTTTCCTCCAGACACTGCTTTAAATGTGTCCCAGACATTCTGCTATGTTGTGTCTTCGTCTCATTGCTTAATATTACTAATTAGGGAAATGCAAATCAAAACCATAATGAGATACTATCTCACACCAGTCAGATAGGTTATTATTAAAAAAGTAAAAAACTAACCAATGGTGGTGAGGTTACAGAGAGAAGAGAACGCTTATATACTGCAGATGGTAATGTAAAGTAGTTCAACCATTGTGTAAAGCATTCTGGAGATTTCTCAGAGGACTTAAAACTACCATTCAACCCAGCAATCCCTTTCCTGGATATATACCCAAAGGAATTTAAATGGTTCTCCCATAAAGACATGTGCACATGTACGTTCATTGCAGCACTGTTCACAATGGCAAAGATATGGAATCAACCTAGATGTCCATCAGTGGTAGTCTGGATAAAGAAAATGTGGTCTATATATACCATGGAATACTATACAACCATAAAGAATGAGATAATCTCCTTTCCATCAAGATGGATGCAGCTGGAGGCCATTATCCTAAGTGAATTAATGCAGGAACAGAAAACCAAGTACTGTATGTTGTCACTTCTAAATGGGAGCTACTTGAGTATGCATGGAAACAAGGGAGCAATAGACATCCAGGCCTACTTGAGGGTGGAGGGTGGAGGAAGGGTGAAGGCTGAAAAACTACCTTTTGGGTATTATGCTGTTTACCTGGGTGACAAAATTACCTGTATACAAAACCCCCATGACATGTAATTTACTGATATAATGAATCTGCACATGTACCCGTTGAACCGAAATAGAAGTTGAATAGTGGAAAAAAAAAAAAATATATATATATATATATATTTAAATTTTTCAATGAGGGAGAAGGGACTGGGCATGGTGGCTCATTCCTGTAACCCCAACACTTCAGGAGATTGAGGCAGGAAGACTGCTTGAGGCCAGGAGTTTGAGACCATCTTGGGAAACATAGTGAAGACCTTTCCTTACAAGTAATTGTAAACATTAGCAGGTGTGGCGGCATGTGCCCATAGTCCCAGCTATTTGGGAAGCTGAGGAGGGAGGATCACTTGAGCCAGGAGTTTGAGGCTGCAGTGAGCTGTGATCATGCCACTGCAGTCCAGTCTGGATGGCAGAGCAAGATTATATCAAATGAAAAAGAGGGAGGGGGACAAACAATTTTGCCTTGAGCTGGCCCTGCCATTAGATGAACCCATTAAGAGCAACTTCCTGCTTGGTAGACTCATAAAGTTCACTGATGGATGCTGTCATTGTTAGATCACTTTAAAAACCTTACAGTGTGATCCAGCACAGAGCACAGTCTTTCAAATTGGATTTAAATTCTGACTCTGCCTACTAGGATGTAGCCTTGAACCAAGGACATTTCTTCAACCCTTGCTTTGATCATAAATGAAAAATAATCAGTAATGTACTGAAATAAATGAAAGCATTGAGCATGGTGCTGGCATCCAAGAGAGGCTCAGTAAGTTTCTTTATTTTTATTTCATAGAATTCCTGACCTCACAGAACATATCCATGAGTGACTTCTGATATGGAAACATGTTGTCCTTGCCCCAAATACCTAGTGCTTTAAAAAAGTAGTCACATATCTAATAGTCTGTTACAAATTCTTCTCTCTTGTCAGCTACAAGTGAGAGCAAGTGTCTTAACAGCAAACAAACACCTTTCTGACCTCTGAAATGCTTCAGACTTGTGATTACAAAGATTTTGTTGTCACGGGTGTCGGAAACCACACCCACTTCCACCTGCGGGAAAGACAGGATAGTAACTAGGTGACCACTAGATACCCACTCTCAGACTGAAAAGGTCCTCAAGCCTGAGAGGTCATTATTGTCACCGTCTGTGCCCTGTAATGAAGTGTTAGCAGGGGTGATATGCGTTTCTTATGGACTGGGAATTTAACTGCTGTTTATGGTTCTTCCAGAGCTCCCTCTTTGCCCAGCACCAGCAGGGTAATAGCTGGTGCCGAAGACAGTGGCTGCTTGGCAAGCCTGGATCTCCAAGTGACTGCAAGAGACCCCGTCAGCAATTCCTAATGAACAGGTAGCATGAAAAAGAAACCTTTTTGGTTTATAGCAGTGAGATATGGGAGTTGTATATCATTGTGGCATAATCTAGGCTATACTGCTATACTGCTACATTAGGGTCTTTGATTTCTAGGTCAGGCCCTATGCCTAGGATAGCATACTGCTGGCTCACCCTTTAGCTAGTCTCTCAGCTCTGCACAGTACTAGATATGCCAAAATTTGGGCCTTTGATTCAGAGCTCTTTTCTGGAATTATCTTCTTCATGATCAGAGAATAACTTTGTCTTGCTTTGCTGGCAAGAGGTAGCAATCTAGATATGGCTATAATTATAGTTCATCTAGGAAATGTGTTGTGAAAAAAATTGAGCTAATATAGAGAAGAGAAAAGAAAAGTTGGGGAGTCTTAGTTGCATTCAAATCCCTGGTTCCAGTTGTACCTAAGGTGCAATTGCATTCTTACTTTTCCTTTAGTTTGCTAAATAAGATAATGAACCCCCATTTCGACAAGGTTAAGTTAGATTTCTGTCATTTTTCTAGGAATAATGTAGTGTTTTTATTTGCCCAGATGTTATAGCTCTCCTAAAAAACCCCTATCTATCCAGGGCTTTTATTGCTTTTTATTTTATTTTTTTTTGAGACAGAGTCTCACTCTATCTCCAGGCTGGAGTGCAGTGGCTCACTGAAACCTCCATCTCCTGGGTTCAAGTGATTTTCCTGCTTCAGCATTTGGGGTAGCTGCGACTACAGGTGTGCCCCACCACACCTGGCTAATTTTTGTATTTTTAGTAGAAACGGAGTTTCACCGTGTTGGCCAGGTTAGTCTCAAACTCCTGACCTCAGGTGATCCACCTGTCTCAGCCTCCCAAAGTGCTGGGATTACAGGCATGAACCACTGTGCCTGGCCTATTGCTATTTTCAACATTGTGTCCAGTGATGGTTTCCTTCACACCTAGAAGTCTTCAGAGGATTTGTGTGGATTGTGAAATCCTCTAGCGACATGGAAGTTTCTGTGTCATGAAGATAGAGAAATTGTGATGCCTGAATGCCTGAAGTTTTTTGGAGTGAGGTAGTATGCACTTGCAAGTAATTTTAAACTATATAATCCACAATTAAAAGATAAACTATTGTTGCATTTAGCAGTATGTTTAGAATACAATAATTTTGTTGTTTTGTAATAGAACTGAAGCCAATATTAAAGCAGTTCAACCAAAGTTTCTTCTCTGGTTTAGACAAGACAGCAAAAGGACAGACTCCCTGTGGAACCTAGCATCGTTCTCCTTCCGCAGCACTAACATTTGCGCTCCATAAGATCTTTGCAAACCACACACAAGAATTGCTGGTCATCCTGCCAACAGAAAAAGACGTTGCTCACAGAACCAAATTTCCTGTGCTGGATTGTCACTCACGGGCTTGTAGGAGACTGGAGTAGGAGATTGGAGACCCAAGGTGGTCAGAATCCAGTTGGGCCTGACGTCTTCCTGTTGAAAGGGCTCCTCGTGGAATGGAGATCACATGGCTCCCATGGTGGATCTCATAGAGGCACAGCAAGTGATGCAGCCATGCCAGGGGCCATGGCCACAGAAGATGCTCCCAGGGTTCCCTGTGTACTCCAGACAGACACTGCAGGCCACCTCTCCCAGCAGGTTCCCAGTCAGGGGCCCCATTGTCATGACTTCTGTCTAAGGTGTGCTCAGAAATCTCTTCGTAAACACCTGTGACTTTGACAGGTGGAGGGTGTGGTCAGGAATGGGAAAAGGTTTCAAGATGGGAAGAGGGAGGGGTTCAGAATGAAGAGGGATAATCTGTGCCACAGATGCTGGCCCTGTATCTTACCTGGAATTCTGTCTCCTGCAACATGAAGGGTTTAGCGTGGGAGGAGGTGGTGAGAACTCTAGGAGAGAATAAAGACGGAGAGAATAGTTTACCCGTGCTGAAGTTAAACCTTTACCTAAAGAAGCAAAAAACACACTGTTCTATTTTGTGCCTCCTTTCCTAGAGTTTTAGCCAAAGGTTTGGCTAAGTAGTTGCTATTGACCTTGTGTTAAGCGTGTACTTGGGGACAGTTTTGCCAGGGCACTCACTGCTATCTTGAGTCTGTGTGACTCACTCCCTATCCTCCTTCTCACCTCTTTCAGGCAGGGTGGGGAATAGCAGCAGGAGGAGATTTTGGGAGCCTGGCAATTCCTGCAAGCACCGCAGGACAGCCCCTCTGGGGATGCGTGGTGCCCCATCTGCCACCCTCTGAAGAATGCACTGCCTTCATTTTCCTTTACTGTGTTAAGAGTCCTTCCAGACTGGTCTATCCAAATAATAGTTTCTTTTTCCCACAGGCAATCAGGAAATGATTCCTTTCCCGACTAGTTCTGTCTAGTGCCTGGGAATGTTGAGTCAGTCTCTCAATAAGTCATTGACTAAGGAAATCTTTCCCGCACTGAGCCTCCCAGTTCAGGTTGCTTAGGGAACCTGATATTTTCATGGAATCCATCTACACATGGGCACCCAACAGCAGAGTTAATGGTGATGACCAAAGTGAGCAAACAAGTATAGTTGTGCCAGCTTCCTGGTTGCCCATGCAGACAAGTCAGCAGGATCAAGACATGAGGAAGAGTAAATGTGAGATAGTCATGTGACTTCTGTGATCGTATTCCAGATTTTTTAACCCAGAAATTTTGCTGAGACCCTGAACTTTCTTTGTGGCATACACTGGCACTGTCTGTCCCATCATACAGCTATCTCGCGTTAAAGCTGTTTTTCTAGAGCACTGATGAGTAAGGTCGGTATATTTAAGTTGTTCATATCAACAAAAACCCCTTTTCCTATAAGTCTTATGTTTAGTGTTTAAGGAACTAAAACTTTTTGTGAAATAGTTGACACTTCACAGATAATGATTTATTGCTTGGATTCATACATTTTCCAAAATTTGTCTTATTATATAGAATATGGTTTGCAACCAGCAGAACGGTTAATTTACACTGTGATAAGCACTATGTGTAACTGTTTAAAAGCTTCTGCTTAATGATGTAAAATGCTCGATTTAATTACACATTTAGCTAAACTGTATACTAACATCTGATGGCATTTTTCCAATGTTTGTTGCTTTTTTCAAATACTTTATTGTACAAAACTGTTCTTAATATTTTTCAAGTTTTTCTCTTTGAATTTTGCTAATGTTTTCTTTGAATCATGAGCACTGACAGAATGCGCTTAGCGCTTTCAGCTATTTATACAGCGTTTGAGCGCGATTTGCATCTAGTATTTACATTGCTAGCAATAAGCCATCTGTGAGTTTTGTCAAAATTATTGGGGATTTTTTAAATTTTAGAAATGCAAATTCTTGTTTCTTTTGAACTAAATCTTATGCAATTGCAAAGGCATTTCCAGTTGTTATACTTTTTGTACAATATTAGATGTTCCAGATTATGATTCATTATTATCATTGCTTCCTTATTCCCTTTGAGATCCAGAAGATTCATGTTTACAATATTTAGAAACAATGTTAAAAAGATACCCAAAGTTTGTCAATTTATTGTTACTGTTTGTTCTTAATATTCTATTTAAGTTTTTGAATTCATAGACATCAAAACACTGCACAATTGTGATTTCCACAGGAATAACAACACACCAACAATAAGAACAAAGGAAAAGCAAATAGACTATCTGAGAGTTATGACAATATTAGGATAATGCTAAACTGACAGTTTTTCTAAATCTCACAGTGAAGAATGTGCAGCAGCCCAGCAACACTGCTTGTCCAGGCTACCTGTGATCTCAGGCTGGAGTGTCAGCTCTTCCTGGGTCTCCAGCCCACCAGTCTAACCTGAAAATTCTCTACTTGCCAGCCCCCCGCAGTCACGTGAGTGAACTGGCCCAGACTGGTCACCAGGGTCAGTTTCTGTGTGACATTAATTCATTCAATGTTCAGCAGTCTCATTGGAGCTGAGATGTACCTATCAGCTACCTTTAGGGAGCTCAGGGTGGAGAACTAGAAAAGTGTAACCTAGTGTGTGTCCTCAAAGAACTAACAATATGGGGTGGTACCCATAGGTCTCGGAACACCTTACTGACCCTGCGAGGCATACCACGAGATGTCAGAGACCAGTCCCTCCTCAAATGCCAAAGGAAATTCAGAGAAATAGTTTGCTTAGGTTCATAGACCAGATACCCAGTGGTCAGGGAGTTTCATGAATGAGATGGAACTTCGCATGGAACCTAAGGGATGTGTATGATTCGGGTGGATGAAGAAAATGAAAGGAAGACTTTCCAAGCAGCTGGAAGTTAGGGAGCAGCAAAGTGTGGGATTGAGCACAGTGTGTTCAGAGGAATAGACTGCAGTTTAATAATTTTTAGTAAATATCTCCCAACTGTTTGGCACAATTGGGACAAGTTCATGAATGCCAAATGAAGGCATAAATCAGTGAGAGGTATAATAAAAGCTGAGCAGTGCTTGGCTTTTTACGAGCTGATCCTGATAGGAGCAGCTATTCAACACAATTGCCAGGTCATTGTTACACAGTCCCTGTCCTTCTAGGGGCTCACTGCTTATTAGGAGAGACATCTGAAAGCTGGTGCAGTGCGTAACTGTTGGATCAGGGATTTGAGCCTGTGGACTGTGGGACCCCAGAGGAGGGTGTGACTACTTTAGGCAGAACAATTCCACAGTTATTTATATTTAACCTTGAAATTCATTAGAGGATTTTTCAGAAGAGGGTTGTTGCTTGTTAATGTTACATTTGCATTCTCTAGAACCTCAAGCAAAGCTGTACTGTGCCCTCTTAATGTGTACTGTGATCCTGTTTCAGGGACTTGTACTTAGAATCTGTTACGGTGAGCACAGAAGCAGACCTGTGGGCTCATAATGTAACCCCGCCCCACCTCCCTCCCCCATGTATGTAAGATGAACAGAGCTGTGGAGGTTAAACAACCTGCCCAAACAACATAGTTCATGGTAAAGCCCAAGACTGTACCTGCCCATCCAGTGCTCTTTCAATACATCCTGGATCCGAGCATAGACCACTTCCCAGGCAGAGCTGACGGCTAATAAAGAAGATCATAATCAGGGGACCAAACAACTTTGTCTACAAAGTGTGAATGTCACCTAAGGAGAAGCCGTGAGATCAGAAGGGTGGGGTAGAAGAGCAGGGACCATGAGGGAGGGTCCTTGGGGGTGCAACTGCCAGACTGACACTGCCTGACCTGGGCAAGTGGAGGGGTTGGCAGGAACCACAGGTACTGGAGGTGTGGCTACTACGGAGACAACTGCCTGCGCTTGGACGTGGACTCTGCAGTACTCGGCAGTCTCATTCATTGCGCACTGCATTCTACACCGAGTAGAAATGGAAGACGAATGGGTACTTCACAGAGACAAGGTCTAAGTGAAGAAGGAATGCATCCTGTGGCTGCGGAGATCCTTGGAGCTTGGAGGCGAGAGTTTGAGCCCCACTGGTAATGACCTTCACAGCTCCCCAACTCAGCCCTCCCCAAGTCCCCACGAGGGACCAGTTCTCTCTCCAGGGTTGAGGGGACTCCCCCAGAACTCATCCAGCATAGGGATGTTGGTATCTACTGTGGGGTAGGACTGATGTGCTGAGGATGGCTCCCCCACAAGCAAGAGGTGTGTATTTGGGGAGCCTCCCGTCTTATGTCCCCTAGGCAGTGCTAACTGCTCCATTTTCTTAAGTGTTCGCTGAGGTGGAACTGCTCCCAGGAGACCACTGGGCTTGTTTGTGGGCTTTTAGAGATTTCTCACACTTCTCACCTTTCCCACTAGAGATCAGGCAGCTGTAATTTACCTAGAAACACTGACTGGTGGCTTGGTAAGAGAGAAATTTTGAAGAGGTTCTTACTCTGAAGGAGAATGTCTGGATTGAGCTCCAAGGCCCTTTCCTTGGATTCCTGCTTAGCTTAGGCTGGGTTCCCTTAGGCATGCTCCCTGCTTTACCCTGGCAGCAGCCAAAACTCAGGAGTTACAGTGCCTGCTCTTGCTATTCAACAGGCCTGTGCCTGGGGTCTCTGCTTTCTCTTCCACAGAGCCTCCTGGTGCACACATGAACTCCAGGGCTCTGGGCCCTGTGGAGATCACACTGACCTGGTAGCATGATGAGAACCATAGAGCTTGTGAACACCAGGGCTGCAGGAGAGGGAACCTTCTAGAAGTGGTGGTGCCTTCTGGAGAAGAGTAAAGATAAACATGCCATGTGCAGCATGAGGGGCTGGTAAAGCTCCTCATCCTGAGACGGGGTAAGGAGAGGGATGTAGGCAGAGAGCCACTTCTCAGGGAAAGGAGAGGAGCGCCTCTTCTGGAGACCTTCAGCAGGTCAGGGCTGAGGCCTGCAGGCCAGGATCCCTCAGCTTCCCTTCCCTTCTGAAAGCCAACTTCTGAGCCCTCCATCCCTATCAGGGGAATATTTCCCAGTTGTAGGTAACCACTGAGCTGTAGTCAGTGGTGTGGTGGCTGCTGGAGCTGTGATCACTGTAGCTCTGGTTACAATTGTGTTCTGGAGGAGCAAGAGCTCAGATGTAGAATGCTACTCTGGGTTTTCTTACTCTCACCTACAGGTGCATCACCTGAAGAAGTTGAGTTAAACTCTTAACCCTGTTCCTTCTGGAGCTCCTGGGGAGACTCCTGCTATGCTGCAAAGTCTGGGAGGGGCCCCTGGCTATGGAGGGCAGGTTGGGCAGCCACAGGTTTGGTAGGAGGAAGGAGACATTCTGGACTCTTGATCCTCAATACCCAGGGGAGGCCAGTGCCTGTGGCTGCCCCTGACTCTAGGACCTGGATCTGAGTTCACATTTTTTTCTGCTCCTCCATAAGCTTCCAGACACAGGGCTGCATGAGGCTCAAACTCCAGAGTGCCTGGGAAGTTGGTCTATTTCTGATGGGACAGAAATTCTCAGGTGCTTCTCTTTCAGATTCCTAAATTGCTTATAAGAGATTAAGTGGGAATAAGCCAGTGCCTGAAATGAATTGGCAAATCTGAAGGGAGTGTGTAATGTGCATGTTTCTGTGTGTGTACATGTAGATATATAAGCAGGGATAGGCATCTGCATGTATGTGGATTTGTGCATATGTGTGTGTTTATAAGCATGTATAGGTTTTTGTATATGTGTGTGTCTGCACATTGATGTATGTAAGCATAGCATGTATGGGTGTGTCATGTGAGTGTTGCTCTGTGACTTCCTCATACTGGTGCCACCCTGGCCTTTTCTTGGTTGCCCCCCACCCTATAGGTTGTAAGGGACAGAACAGCTCTCCACCTGCAGGCATGGAAGTGAGGTAAGGATAAGTGTTTGGGAGAGCTGGGCCTCTTCACACTTGGAATAAGCAAACAGGAGCTAAATGGATGGGTCCCTCCCTTTTACAGAATTCTGCCTTAATAAAAGCGTCACATTCTTATGGGATTTACAGGAATTAAATCATTTAAATCTCACAAGAGCCCCATGACATAGGGACAGCTTTCAACCCCTTTTTTTCAGACAAGGAAACAGGTCACTAGGAGGTTCAGTGGCTCTCAGTGGGCTGATTCATGACTCTGAGGAGACAGTCTGACTGCTCAGCCCAAGTAACCACCCTGTCCTGCTGACCCCATACTTGTCCACTGACCACCTATGAGTTGCCTCCTGTGGGTTTTGACCAGCTTCCCTTTCTTCTCCAGGCACAGAGACTGGACTGGAGTCTATTGTATTTGCCACAGTCCTTTCGAGGGCTGCTACAGGGAGCTGAGGGAGGGGCTTGAAATTGATAGCAGCAGGAGGCAGACAAATCTCTTGGCAGATAGAGGCTCGTGCCCGGTGAAACTGCACCTTCCAACCAAAAACAGCCTGAAGCCTAACACTGGGCTGCTTGTTCTTGTTGAAACGACCCAACGTGAGAATTTCTGTTCCTGTTTGCCCACTCTTTTCCAATTGGTTCTCTCTGAATAATGCTTTTTAACCAATTGAATGTTGTCCTTTCCAATGCTGCTGTGCCTATAAAAGCCCCAAATTCAAACACACAGAGGGACTCCCTACCCTTCAGGTTGGGGGTAAGAAACCAACCTCCCATCCCCTCTCCACTGATGGCTGTTTTATCTCTCAATAAAGCTGTTATTTTCCCTCTTCACCCTACAACTGTCAGGGTAACCTCATTCTTGGATGGGGGACAAGAACTCAGAACTCACTGTGGTCCTCTGCCCTCTGCCAGTGGAGGGCAGCTGCCCCATATGATGGGCAGAGGCTGACAGGGCTGTTAATGCACCGGACTAAAAGAGCACATTATAACACCCCCTTGGGTGCTTCAGGATTGCAGACAGCACTGCCTC